CCAGAGCGGAGAGGATGAGTGAGTGGCCGCGTGGTGCTTAGTTGCTGGCTAGGGTTAAACCACAACACACTTCCAAATCTTCTAGTTGTATTTTCACCACCCAGTGTCTTAGAGCAACATGAATTCACCAGGAAATGGTCAAAAAACATTCTCTGCCTCCAGCCCCAGCTAAAACATACAGAATATGAAACAGGCTTAGAATTCAGAAATGTGTCATGTAATCACTGAGGTATGCACTTCTTACACTTGAGAAAAGTTTTTGAAGTGAATCCTATACTATGGGCTTTTTTTTTTTTTTAAATGACAGTTTCTCTGCTATGATTCTTAACCAAAAACTAAGGCACTTTAGAACAACAAAAATTAGGAGCCATATTCTCTTTATAAGGGAGAGATCTAGGTGCTTCGAAATTGTGATTCCAGATAAAAAAAAAGTAACAAGAAAAATAATTCATACAATACATTACTTGATGCATTCAGTCAATTGTTTTAAAATAAAATTACTTCTAAAAAGGGTACTCAGAACATACGGTAGTTGATCCACATGTGCTGCACATTGTATTAGTCTGATTAGAAAAGGAAAGGTTTTAGATTCACCACAGAACTATGTCCAGTTACTGAAAGTAATTTGAAGTTACCGTACTGCCTACAAATAAGAATACACAAAAGCTGAAGTCCAGAGGAGTCATAAATCTTCACCACTTACAAAATCATAACTAGTTAAATTTTACCTTTTATTTCCAATAAGCATTATGACCATGTTGGAATTGGAATGCTGACGAGCATCTTCTAACCAAGTTGTCAAGTGGTTGAAAGTGTCCCTCCTAAGTATGGAAGAGAATGAAAATTAAAAGCAGTCTTTCAAGAAATCTCCTTCCCTTCTTTTAGTCAACTCCTTTACTTGAGTAACCAACTCATTTGTTAGTATACATGCTCCAGGGATAAAAACTAGTAATCCCTTTGTGGGAGGGCGAACAGGCAAACAAAAATTTAGTAAACAAGGATCATTAATGAACTCTGCCTAGAAAGTAATTGAAAACATGTTTGCTACAAAGAGTAAAGATTACTTATAGCTGTAAGAATCTGTAATTTTATATGTATATAAAATCTGCTGAACGGAATTTTAGAAGTCCCTAACAGCCTCAACCAATTCAAACAACAATACAAATAATCATATACTCATATAGTAATATTAGTTCTATTGAAGGGAGAAAACGATTTACAATTTTCTCTGAGTCTACAAACTGAATAATGAATTTAGCAGCAAAGTCTTTTAAAATAAGGTATACAAATATGATGTTACAGATTTTACAGAAGGTGCATACTCAATATCTAATCACATATTTGTAAAGTGTATTGAAGATTTCACAGGAGTAAAAACACCTATTTATGAAACAAAGCTTCATTATGTGGAAATCCAATGGAAATAACATGTTGCTTCCTGATATTTAAAAATAAACAGGGAACAAAAGGAAAAATGCCTAGGAAATCTCTAGTAAAAAGTTGTTGCTTAATTCAGGAACGAGACCCAAGATCCACAAGAGGAGCCACACACCCTAATAGGATTTTGGAGCCTGAGCATTCTCAGAAACCAGCCCACAGTATCCACAGTTGTGCAGATAACAAATTATATAAAGACTTTATTCAATACAGCACTTAGTCACCTGTGAACAAAAAAAACCACTAAGAACTGTATTCTCCCAGCCTCATAAACACAGCAACAGTAGAAGTTTCCTGGTATTTTTATGTAACCAAACTTTGATGTTTTACTATTTCACTCCTTTGCAGAACGGCACTTCAGTAAAAAAGCCTACTATAATTGAAGAAAAATTATAGCTCATGGTAATAAAAACACTAGAGAGGAATTAATTAAATATTTTAAGGTCTTTCTCAATAAAGGCAATCCAGAGGTTCATGGTCAAATAGTTTATAAAAATATTTGTTTCATTCTTCCTGAGACTTTATATATACTTTTTCTCAACCACTATACAGAGAAAATTTGAAGTACATAGGTTACATAGGCTACATCTTGATTTTCAGCACTTAAGGGAAGTTGGCAAAACATTAGATTACAAATATCTACACAAAACCCAAACTAAATTAGATATTTTAACACCACTATATACCACAGAACAATTCTACAAACCCATGTAATTTTAATACAGTTATACCTCTTCAGTATTCTCACCTTGTAATGTCATACACTAGTAAAGCCCCTGCTGCCCCTCTGTAGTATGACCTTGTAATGGAACGGAAGGACTCCTGCCCTGCCTGTAGAAGACAAAGTTTCGTTATTTCAAATGTCAAATTTACTTTTTGGTGCTGAAACCCACAAACTTAGAATCACAAAATCATAGAAGTATACGTTTGAGAGAACAGGGGCAAGGAAGAGTATGGAAGGGAAATCAGAGAGGGGACAACTGGGGACAAAGTCTCTAACACTAGCAAGAGAACATACATAAGGAGAAGACACCAACTACAGCACAGTGCTGCACAAAAAAAAAAAAAAAAAAAAATCGGAACAAGACCTCTAAACCTTTTTTGGCAATCCCTGACAACCCAATTTACTGAACGGCTTCACAATACATGAATCATTATTAGAGCACAGAATGGACTCCTAGCAACTAAGCTCTGAAGACAAATTTGAAAGGAAGCAAATAACCCAGAGCTTCACATTTGAATTCAATAACCCGCTCCCTGGGGCAGCTGTTGACACTAGAATAAATAAAGCCCATTGTAAATAAATGATGAATGACATCTTTACGCCCACCATCTGCTGGTGTAAAGGTTGTTGGAAGGCCAAGGATGCAGATTTTATCCGTTATATCATAAACTGCAGCCAGCTTTCAACAGTCTTCAGATGGAATTCTTTTGAGTAATCATTTTATTATGAAAAAAACAGAAAATGGTTCTGAATTCAATTTTACACAATTCTGCTCCACAGTTAATCAATTTCCTCTGTAGTTGATAAATAATGCTTGTCAGACAGCTACAGGATGCAAGAATCATCTTCATATGCACTGGTGAAAAACTTAAGATCCTACATAAATTAGATAGTTCTCACCGAAAAGTATTCTGTAAAAAATCTCAGCACTTAAAAGAACATGCTGAAAAGAACAGTCCTGAAAAATAAATATTCATAGTTGCAGACCTTGAGCTCTCCATGCTCATGTTTTCCAGAAGCGCTATCTAGCACCTGACAGTTGTTAGAAGAAACATTTACTTTAATATTTAGTAATAACAGAAGCTTTAGCGTAATTCAAAGATAACACAGAACACAATTAAGAAATGCTAATATTCATGCTGAAAACCCCCCTATATGCAGTAAGGTACTTATCTGCAGAACTATAGGAAATTACCCTGATTTAAAACCATGAAAAGCAAGAATGAAATATTTATCAAATACAAGCTACCCTTCAGCCCTACCTACAAGATCAGTGTACAGAGAACTTTCTCTTCTCACAGTTACTGTACTTTTCTTGGTCTTGAATTCAAGAACTTGATCTAGATTCTATCACTGAACATGAACAGTGGCACAACAAGTTTTGACATGTTCAGTCTTCAGAAAGCATCCTTATCTTCCAGAATAATCAGTTACTACAGTTTAAGAAAACAGTTTATCTTAGCCATTGCGGTAGAAAAAGTTACAAAAGACAAGACATTTAATAGTTTCAACACAATTAGAATACACTAGCATATGCACTTGGCTGACAGTCCAAGTGAATCTTTATGTAAACTAAGGTAATAGAATACAGACTATCTGCTAGAATGCACCAAGGAATAGTAAAAAAACAAGTTCTTAACACAATAGTTGGTTCCCTACCCAAAAGCTCCACTAAGCTCTACAACTTTTTCTTGGTGTGGTGACTAGCTCAAGTGCATGACAGATACATAAACATTTTCCTCCTAACCAGACAACAGACAAGTTACCGTCACCCATGTATTGCCTAACATCACACATGAAGTTGACTTAGCCTACCACATTAAGACTGCCTGTTGCACCTTCAGAAATTCCACCTCGACACATGAAATTGTTAGTCTCTCTAAGTAAATTAATCATGGTCAACCAAGAGTGTCATAGGTTCTAGCAGATGTTACAAGGTAAGAATTGTGAGTTCTTACAAGAATCACTTACAAGAAAAGTTTGGTAACTAAATAATGAAAACAATATAACATTTGCTCTGGAGCCCTCAGTACAAGAAGGACATGGACCTGTTAGAGTGGGTCCAGAGGAGGGCCACAAAAACGATGCCAGGGCTGGAGCACCTCTCCTATGAGGACAGGCTGGGAGAGTTGGGCTTGTTCAGCCCGGAGAAGAGAAGGCTGCGGGGAGACCTGATTATGGCCTTTCAGTACCTAAAGGGGGCCTATAGGAAAGATGGGGACAATCTTTTTAGTAGGGCCAGTTGTGACAGGACAAGGGGTAATGGCTTTAAACTAAACCAGGGTAGGTTTAGACTGGACATAAGGAAGAAATTCTTTACAATGAGGGTGGTGAAACACTGGAACAGGTTGCCCAGAGAGGTAGTGGAGGCCCCATCCCTGGAAGCATTCAAGGCCGGGTTGGACGGGGCTCTGAGCAACCTGACCTAGTTAGTGGTGTCCCTGCTCACTGCAGGGGGGTTGGACTAGATGACCTTTAGGGGTCCCTTCCAACCCAAAACATTCTATGACTCTATGATTTTTAATTGTGTCTCACTTGCCCGTGATGAAATTTAAGTATCATTGCTTCCTGAAGGAAAGACTGGGGAAAGGGTGGAAAATGTTACCCCTTCTTCACCAAAGACGACACAATCTTCCATATAGCAATAATGAATTTGTGCTTGCATATTACAATGGACAACACAATCTGAATTCCCTTTCATTCTAAACAGAAGAAAACCGAGTTTCAGCAAAGAAACTCCATGATACTTATGTTTATACAATATATATTTGTAATTATATATAAAATAATAAACACCTTATATAGATTTAATTTACTGTATTTTAACAGTATCATTCTGAACGAGAGATCTAGAAGGTCAATACAGCAGGGTTAGGCACGTAGAATATACTCCATGGCTTTTTTTTTTTTTAGTATCGTTATTACTTCATCCACTTTTCAACTGACAATTTGCTGTCTGTGCCCTGCAACCTTCTTTTTTTAACCCAAGCAGGACAAGCTATTTCAAAGACAAAACCAAAAAAGTGTAGGCTATTAGCCAAAACTGACTTTAAAAAAAAAATGCAAGTGTGTTATAATTGTACTTTATCAGTCTTGCAAAGTAGGGCCAACCCAAGTTTAGCTACTTGCTACAAGGAGCAACGGACAGAAGTAACAGTATGGAAGCTAGTATAAATTAAAAACAGCTTTGATACCAGAGAAAAGCCTTAAGTGGAATTAACATTGTTCTTACCATCCCTTCCATGTTCCCCCAAAATCCAGCACTTGCTTTTTAATATGGGAGACAGAAAAAAAAAAAAAAAAAAAAAAAAAGGTTTTTTTCATAGAATAACAGGATGGTGGAGGTGGGAAGGCACCTCTGGAGGTCACCTGTTCCAACCCCCCTGGCTCAAGCAGGGCCACCCAGAGCACGTTGCCCAGGTCCATGTCCAGACGGCTTTTGAAGATCCCCAGGGCTGGAGACTCCACAACCTCCCTGGGCAACCTGTGCCAGCGCTCAGCAGCAGGGGGGAGGCATAGGGAACAGTAGCAGTACTAGCCACTGAATAAATGTTAAAGGGGGTATTTCCCAAGGCCATATTACATCTAGTACAGGCAACATAAGCCTTTGCTCTGAGGCAACCTCTAGTTATACCCACTTTCAGAATTACACTGCAGTGGAAGCGGGAAGATGGAAGATCTATTTTTTTCTAACAGACAGACCATGACAATAATTTCACATGTAGAAACTCCAGCTCAGACAGAAACCAATAAATACATACTGAACAGGCCTGAACATGCATCCTCTCTCTTCAGAGAAAAAGGTGCTAGCTGCCATGCAAGTCGTTCACTAATGTCCTGGTTTTGGCTGGGATAGAGTTAATGTTTTTTCCCAGTAGCTGGCATAGTGCTGTGGTTTGGATTCAGTACTAGAAGAATGTTGATAACACCCTGATGGTTTAGTTGTTGCTAAGTAGCGCTTAGACCAGTCGAGGACTTTTCAGCTTCCCCTGCTCTGCCAGGTGCACAAGGAGCTGGGAGGGGGCACAGCCAGGACAGCTGACCCCAACTGGCCAAAGGGCTGTTCCAGACCATAGGACATCATTCTCAGTATAGAAACTGGGGGGAGCTTGCTGGGAGGCCGCTGCTCGGGGACTGGCTGGGCATCAGTCAGCAGGTGGTGAGCAACTGCATCACTTATTTTGTGTATTCTTTTATCATTCTTATTATTATTCCTTCTTTTTCTGTCCTATTAAACTGTCTTTATCTCAACCCTCCAATTTTACTTTTTTTTTTTTCCTCCCCGCTCTCTCCCACATCCCATTGTGGAAGGGGGGAATGAGCGAATGGCTGTGTGGTGTTTAGCTGCCTGCTGGGTTAAACCACAACAACTAATCATGAAAAAATGTGGGCCTCTGATAAACAAGTAATGTTTTAAGTGTTAAGTAACATTCTTTTTGGTTGTTTTCTGGACTGTAAGCTTTTACAGTTCATATCATATCGGTTAACAAACTTTATGAGACATATAATTATAGTTCTAGGAGTTACAAGTCTTCAAAATAGTACAAAAATCTTCATCCCTGCTTCAGCTGTAGAACTGCATGGAAATATATCCCATGTGCTTCTCTAAATATACCTCAATACAGAGACCAAAACACCATTTCAAAATAATGATGTAAGCACAAGCATTATCAGTCATCTTAGGTCACTAAGATACACAAAGATTTAGGGTCTGCGCTAAAGTTTTCAGGAACATTTAAGCTATGTAACTGTGTTACCATTGACACAGTATCTGTGGCAGATTTGAGAACAGACTCCCAGTGTTACTACTCCTATAGGAAATCTCTGTGTCATTTCCAAGTGTGTGGTGTAGTCACGTAGGTGTCACTTGTAAAATGTACAGACAAGTCTTTGCTATCAAAAAGGGTTCCTTGAGAGTTCCTTAACTGCATATTTTTGAATCTATAAACTAAGCAAAAAAAAAGCCATTATGCAGTACAAGAAAGCAGTTAGATAATGAAATAGGATTCACAACAGTGCATCTCCCTAGAAAACAGTCCATTAATTTTACCGAACCCTCCATTCTCAATGCTGAAGAATTTGAAAAGTTTCTTCAAGGACAAAGTTA